TCCCGACTTTGTTCTTTAAGTCACTACAAGAAAATAGAGTTTTAGTGAAGAATTTTGTTGTCACTGTGTTGTCACTATATCTACTGTCACTATATCTACAATTATTGTCACTATAACTACAACAATTGTAGATATAGTGACAATAATTGTAGATATAGTGACAACAACTGTAGATATACTGACAGTAGGTATAGTGACAACATAGTGACAACAATCGTAGATATAGTGACAAAAAAATTCTTCACTAGAACACTATTTTTTTGTAGTGAGTCCAAGTTCGGATTACGTCTCCGGTGTTCTTCCGCTTCTGCAGGGTCTCCGAAACCGAAATATCTCAGCAATGGATAATAAACTGTTACAACAAATTCAAAGTTAGACCGATATCGTTAAACACAAATAATATTGCGAGATAGACCAAGTCATGAAGAAGATTACCTGGTAAAAATGAAGAATCGAGCACCCCGGGGGACAGACCAGCCGACTCTAAATGGGAATCTTTCACAAGTCGCTGATATCGTCGCTTGTTGAGAGACACTTCAAACAGCTTGTCTACCCGATCGTATAGTAAGCCTTCGAACTTGGGCTCTCTCTTTTCGGTTGGTTTGGCTACAAGGTCACAAAAGTCCACCTGTTAGTGACAACAAAAAACAAAGTATTAATAACCGAAGTGAAGAAAACGGAAACAACTTACAATAACCAGATTTAATGGCCATTGGGATGCTTATCCCGTCGGCAAGAAGATCATTAGCGAAGTCGGGGCACTGCCAATCTCCCCCGACCCACAACCACTCCTCTTGGAAGCCATGTAAAGTGTCGGGGACCTCCATTATTAATTCGCCGACTTTAACCCTTGGCTGGGGTTTACCGACAATAGAAAAGGTGAGAAGTGGGTCCGACACTTGTCTATCCGGGCTCTTCCGGAATGTGAACATGCTCCTCATGTCCTTTTCCGACGGCATATCCCACTTTTTCTCAGCAAAAAGTACCAGCAGCCCGATAATTCGTTTCCAAGAATTTGGAGCGATTTGGCATATCGGAAACTCCCAGTCTCGCAAATACTCAGTGATTATGCGTGGCAAGGGAAATCGCAAGCCTGATCTTAGGCTCTCAGCAAATACGCCGACGCAGTTGGGTGGAGGACATGTGATCCTCTCACCTGGATATGGGGCAAACAGATGTACCGACGAAGGGACTCGAATTTCGCCCCGCAGCATAACGACGTCGGCGTCAGTAAGAATACTGGGTTCGCCATGGGATGTGATTTCAGGATTCGGCCATCTCCTAATAGGTCGCCTCCAAAATCTTGAGTCGTCGATGGCGTTTCTCTCTACAACTTCGTCCCCCTCGCTGTCATTTAGACGAATTTTCAGCCGTTCAACAAACACTGGATCCCACCGGTTATACTCAGATAATAACTCCAACTCCCCGGAATGGACCATGTTAATCATCACCACGTCCAACTCGTCGTCGCCCGAAGACGCCCAAGATACGCTCATGATGTCGAGAAAGAGAAAGAAAAGTCGGGGTAAATAAATATAATACGATGAGAAATTCTTACCACAGGAAATCGTTCGTGAATCTGGAGTGCTCTGAGTGCGGTTGAAAAACGATTGATTTGCAAAGAAAGTCGAGAAGATGAGTGTAAGAAGAAGAAGGAAAAGTAGATCTGAAAAGAAGAACTCTTATTTATATTAAATCCTGGATTTGAAAGCGACCGTTGGGAACCGATGGAAATAAGGGCGCGTGGATTACACGTTCTGGATCTGCGAGTCGACGCGACTCTTGGAAATCGTGCCTCTTAATAACGGCTATGTGGCCTATTTTAAGTGACCGTTACCCTATTGATAAAACGGTGCAATTAATTTCAATAAAGTGCACCGTTTCAACTTTTAAGTATCATTTCTACAAGTGTGGAAACATCGGATAAAGATGATGAAACCGACATGTCATGGAAATTTAGTCATGTCCTGTTAAACTTTCAGCATCACTGCCCGTCTTCCGTCCAGACGACCATTAATGCTGGGGGCCACCTTGTTGATATCATTTTCAGTGAACCCAATTAACTGATTTTGATCAGCCGATTAAGGTCAGTATGAGGATAATTAAGATTCATGCAAGCACGTGACGCTTTCACCGACTTCAAGACGACTGCACGATGAGAGATTCAGCAAGAACCGACATCTCCATTATTTAACCGATATCTCACGTCGGTCAACACATGTCGGTCACCACATGTCGGATACAACATATCGGTTATAACTGGATGAACCGATATCTATAACATGCCACCTCAGCATTGTAAGGCGGCGACAACTCAGCATAAGTCATCATTACGTTTGTCCAAGTGGCGAGCTATCAAGAGAAGTAGCTAAGAGCCGCCTTTGACCTTTCAAAATGTAATGATTACCGTACGGATAAATGTTGTACTTAAATATAAAAGGAGAAAAAATGATTCTCCAGAGACACACGTACAATAATAATACATTACCGAAAAAATTCTATCTCCTGTCACGATACATAAGTTCTTATCGTTGAATATTGAGTTTCATTTCGAATTTACTTCAATTAGACCGTTGTTAATTTCCATTTGACAACACTATCGTTATTGTGATGAGTGGGTTTGTGAATTGTTGTTCAATCTTGTGTTAGTTACTCGATTTTTAGGGGTTAGTTGATTGATCATTTGCTAGGTAAGCAACTTTTACAACCGAAAGGGGAGAAGTTGTTGAACCTAAACTCATATGAGGTGGACATGTTATTCTAATATAATTAAACAACTTTTAGAACCGAATGGGAAAGAGTTGTTGGACCTAGGCTCGTATGGGGTTTGTTGATTGAAATACGTTATTGTCTCTACTTTCACACCCGTGTTCGTAAAAAAATTGGGGACGAATCTCTAGGCTCGTGTGTATGGTTAACCTTGCTCACTCATGTTCAATTCCGTGTTACAAGAATTATTGGAAGCAGGCCGCTAGGTGTTTAGTC